GGATTCAGAAGAGGCTATGGAATGAGGGATATCATTGCTGATATCTGACAGATCTTGGCTGAAAGCAGAGAATATCAGCAACATGTTTACCTGTGCTTCACTGACTACTCAAAGGCTTTTGATTGTGTAGATCATGAAAGCTATGGACAACACTGCAAAGTATGAGTATCCTGGAACACTTAATTGTGCTAATGAGGAATCTGTACACGGACCAAGAGGCAGCTGTTCAAACAGAACATGGGAACACTGAATGTTTTAAAATTAAGAAAGGTGTGTGACAGGGTTGTATTCTTTCACCATACTTATTCAGCTTGTATGCTGAGCAAATAATCTGAGAAGCTGGGTTATATGAAGAAAAACGTGGCATCAGCATTGGAGGAAGACTAACAACCTGCGATATGCAGATGACACAACCTTGCTTGCTGAAAGTGAAGAGGATGGAAAACATTTACTGACGAAGATCAAAGAGCACAGCCTTCGGTATGGATTACATCTCGATGTCAAGAAAACAAAAATCCTCACCACTGGACTAATGAACAAAATTCTTATCAACGGAGAAAAGATTGAAGTTGTCAAGGACTTCATTCTTCTTGGATCAACTATCAACACTCATGGAACTAGCAGTCAAGAAATCAAACGACGTATTGCATTAGGCAAATCTGTTGCACAAGACCTTTTTAAAGTGTTGAAAAGCAAAGATAACAGCTTGAGGACTAATGTGCACCTGACCCAAGCCATAGTATTTTCAATAACCTCATATGAATGTGAAAGCTGGACAGTGAATAAATAAGGAAGACCATAGAAGAATTGATGCATTTGAGTTATGGTGTTGGAGGAGAATATTGAAAGTGCCATGGGCTGTCAACAGAACCAATAGATCCATTTTGGAAGAAGTGCAGCCAGAGTGCTCCTTGGAGGCCAAGATGGCCAAATTTTGTCTCTCATACTTTGGACATATTGTCAGGAGGGACCAGTCACTGAAGAAGGATATCCTGTTTGGTAAGGTAGAGGGTCAGAGAAAAAGAAGAAGACCCCCAATGAGATGGACTGGCCAAGTGGCAGCATCGATGGACTCAAGCATGGTAACAGTAGTGAGGTTGTCCCAGAATCCAGCAGTGTTTCATTCTGCTGTGCATAAGGTCGCTATGGGTTGGTACCAACTCAATGGCACCTAACAAAAACAATCAAGAAATAACTGAATCGGTCATTTTACAAACTTCTTGTCTTCCTAACATTTGATGACTTCTCTTTCAACTACTACCTTCATTTGCTCTTTCTAGATTACAACTTGTTTCTAAGACTTTGCTTTACAAGTATTTCTTCCTCTAAAGATAAAACTCCAAATTACTTTTAAGGGGAAACTGAATCGTGATTGCATCTGTTACACTGCTCAACTTAATTCTTTCATTTTTTGAAATGTCACAAAACTTTCTCAGCAAAATAAGCTCAAATATTTACAAAACAATGAGACCATTTTAAAAGGCAGTGAATTCCAATGCTTCCATGTGTGATTTTGAAGTACACCAGTTCAAACGAGGACTCTGAATTATAAATCATTGAAAAAAACCCTCCATAACACAAAGCATAATCAAATTTTAAAGTATTACAAAGCTAAAAAGCTAACTAACCCTTTTTCTAGAACAAGTGTCGTTGTTATGTATTATTGAGTCAGTTCTGACTCATAACAACCCTGTTAAGGGCTTCCAAGGGTGGAAATCTTGGCGGGAGCTGAAAAGTATAATTTTTCTCCTGCAAAGCGGCTGGTGGGTTATAACTGCCAATCTTGTGGTTTGCAGTCTAGTGCTTGCCCTACATATACATAGCCACTTCCTTCTGAATCAAACTATAGAATTATCTAAAATCAAAGCATTTTCCCCTCTTAAGAATAAAAATTCTAGTTACTTTATTAGTCAGTACTGAAAAGCCTTTCTAAAAATTGTACCATGAGCAATTTAATTAGAATATTCATTCATATCAAATAAATTTACATAAAGTAACTCCAATTTGACATTTTACATTTAAAAGCTATAAAAGAAAACTGGGAGAAACTATGGTTTACTAAGTCTTAGCCCCTATAACTAAAAACTGCCTGAGTACAAATACTAAAGAGTACCTAATTATAAAAGGCTTTTTTAGCCAGATTTTTTAAATGATCAATTATTTTTGATGGCACTTAGACAATGTTTTTATGCTATACTAAAATTTTATTAAGCCTTACTATCTGGCACACAGCAGGGGTACTTCATATCAGAAGAGCATTTTAATGTTCAGTGTTATATCAGAGAAAATCAAACACAAAACTCTTTGATTAAAAGTATAAACATAAAGCTAAGCAACTTAATAGCTGTTTGCCCATAGAGTTTTCTTTTACCTCTAGATATTCTTAATATTTTTAAAACAAGGTACTAAATAATGATAGTAACAGATTATAACTCATTAAATAAAATAAGAACCTATGAGTGCATATTGATGTGGATAAAATACATAAATAAGAGGGAAAGGAAATAATTTTGTTATAATAGAATCCCATCTAATAAATACAGAACAAATGATGGAATTAGAAAATTACCACTTGGCAATCATCACCAGTATGAAAGTTTGAATACAGAAGGATTTATACAGTCTCTAAGTATTTCTCTAATAACACACATTGTTAATTACAATGGGAAATTTTTACAGTGGAGAAACCAGGCAAGTACCACTTCAACAAAGTAATCAAAATCACCAATAATGGGACAAACTGATATCATATGTCTCCTGTTATGATCCATCATCACTTATGTGCAATTCCTATCAAAACTGCCTAACCTGAATCTAAACATGAGGAAACATGAAATAAACCTATATTAAAGAACATTCTATTAAATAAATGGTCAATATGCTTCAAAAATGTTAATATCATAAAAAGAAACGAAAGACTGAGGAACTGGTTCCTAATGAAAGGTTATTAAAGAGACATGCCAATTAAATGTACTATGTGATCCTGGACTGGACTGGACCGTTCCCTAGAAGTGTTTTCCTCTCTTTTTGATAAAAGACATTATTATCTGAACAGTTGGCAAAGTATGAGAAACTTCTATAGCTTAAATAAAACATTGTTATCACTGTCAGTTTCCTAAAAGTCCTTGTTAATAGACAATACACGTTTAAATATCTAGGGTTAAAAGGGTATCATGTCTACAGCTTACTTTCAAATAGTTTAGAAAAAATTGCACAGATAAAGCAAATGTGACAAAAATGATCACATTTGGGAAATTTTTGGGTAAAACATACAGGGATTCTTTGTTTTATTCTTGCAACTTTTCCAGGAGTCTGAAATAGTTTCATAATCAAAGGTAAAATGAGAGAAAAAAATAAAAGGGAAACAAACATGGACTAAATGATAGAAGAAAAAGATTGATCAAAGAGAAAGTTATATTAGATGCCCACAATAGGTAAATTTTTGGTTTAATTACCAGTGTACGGGAATTATTACTGCTGTCTTTCTTTTACGGATCTTCAGATACTTTACACACACACTGTATTTTTCTCACCTTATAGATGGGAAACAGACATATTTGCTTCCAAATGCTTCAAGTTGACTGTGGAGTGCTGACCAGGAAATTCAGACTTTAGCTGGTAACACAGTGTTAAGCTGTAACATAGGCCGACCTACCAGAAGGCATTCATTTACCTTGCTCTATTGTAAATCACCGGCTCATTTTCCTCCTGTACAGTTGTCAGCATATCCAAGTCATGGAATATTTTCTGCATATAGTCCAAATATTTATATCCTGAAGCTCTTTCTACTATGGCTGCCAATAGGGTATAGCCAAAAGTTGAATACAAAAACTGACTACCTTGAGACATCATTGCAAAGGGGAAAAAAAAGAGAAAATGCTTGATTATTATTTAAAAACATGTAAAACATTTTCTCACACAAAGCTGTCACACCTTTAAAATCCTGAATACTTTAATTCAGCATTTAGAAAACAAGATCAGAGAACATATCAACAAACTGCATCAACTTTGTAATGTTCCCACCTATTCCTTGTCCTTGATATCAAACCCAAATCAAACCCACTTCCACTGAGCCTATGACTCATAATGACCCAATACGACAAGTAGAACTGCTCAGTAGGCTTTCTGAGACTGTAAGTCTTTATAGGACCAGACAGTCACCTCTTTCTCTAGAGGAGTGGCTAGTGGTTTTAAACTGCCAATCTGTGGTTTGCAGTCCAATGCTTAAACCACTGTGCTACCAGGACTCCAGACACAAGAATAATAAAAATGATGGTCAGCATATTTAAAATTTCATGTGAATCTGCCCTTTTATATGGCAATGACATACACAAGCAATTCCTATCTCAAAACAAAACAGAATCTCTCAAACTGGTAACACAGGATAGTGAAGAAGAGCAAATTAAATTTTTTGAGTCAACTATTTTGTTTTTACTATACCTTCTAACTGTTGTTTTCAAGGCATGAATAGGCATATCAGTTCTTATGTACACATAAAATATATTACACACAAAAACCTTCTTTCAAATATATTTTAAAATCTATATATTGTATCAAATATACTTTTATATCATTGTATTTTAGAAATTTAAAATCATATAATCTGCACTAATAATGCATTGGAATCTTACTTTTTAAGGTAAAACCCATGATAATATTTTATTTACCCTTTTTATCTATATGTATATAATGTCTATTCAAAGCCTGCCGAAGAAAGACAAGGCTTTCTGCTCCTATAAAGATTTACAGCTTTGGAAACTCTATACAGGGTTGCTATAAATTAGCACTTGACAATAACAACAACAAATATCCATTCATGGTAAAAGAACCCACACATTAAAAAAAATGAAAGTAGAGTAAATGTACATAAACCTATCAGAAATTTAAAGATACTAAGTGCTCTTAGTATGCATCATACAAACAAACCCCTGAAAATATACAAAAACAAAGATAATTATTTTTGTAGATTAGGTTTTTGGGAAATAAAATGAGGCTGATAGACACTAAATTTCTTTAATTGTTGTTAAGTGCTATTGAGTCAGTTCTGACACACAGTGACCCTGTATAGGGTTTCAAGGAGTAGCTGATGGGTTTGAACTGCAAACTTTGACGTTAGCAGTACAGGGCTTATCCTAACAGTGTCACACCAGGTCTCCTATTTTTTCAATAGGCACAAGATAAATTGAGCAATTAAATTCCAACTAAATGCTAAATATCAGCAATACTTTTTCATGTCCACTTTGGCCTACATTTTATTTGGGTGACTAGTAAGCCAATGCTGCTATCATTGCTAAGTGCCCTTGAGTTGGTTCTGACTCATAGTGACCCTATACAGGGTTTCCAAGGAGCGGCTGATAGTTCTCCATAATTTGTCCACAAATGGCTCGATACCGAGACTCAGCTCACTGGCTGGGTTGTCTTCACTCAGTGAGGCTGGTGCTAAATCACCAGCCTGAATGCTAGGTGTGGTGTGAAGTACAGACTGAGAGGCAGGCACTGGACTGGCAACAAATCCCAACTTATAATCATCAACCTCATCTATCATTTTGGATTTTATGATAATTAATACTTCAATAATGGTGACTTTGTTAAGAGAATAAATTAACACTCACCAGGTTTAAAGAACAAAGGGTCATTTTTAAATAATCTTAATGATTCAATTGACGTTTCAAACTTTTCTTTCAAATATAACTCGCCTTGTTCAAAATCATTCTTTTTCTTGCCAGGCTTTGAATTCCGACCTTTGGCTTCATTATCCTGCTCTGTTTTAGCTTTAGCAAAGTCATTATTTTCATTTCTTTTGCCTCCTTTTTCTTTCAACTGTTTTTCTTGGTCAGATTCCATTGTCTCTTTCATCATTTTCAAGGCTTTATAAGCTTTCTCTTCTTTCACCTTTTTCATGTCCTTTTCATAATGACGGATTCCACTTAAATGGGAAATCAGTAATCTTGTTGTGACAGAAACCTAATTGTAAAAACATGAGAATTTGATTACGGTATGAAATGGTACAACAAAGAATTAGTGACCTTGGTCCACTGCCTCAGTAATTTTTACCATTTTGAATTGCAGCTGGAAAAATAAGTCAATCAAATTGCAGAAAAATACCCATTTAGTTATCATCTCGGTTAAGAAGAAACAAAACAAAAGCACTCTGATTAAAAAGACAATTTAAAACATCCAAAAATCCTATGAAACACTTTGAATATAAATTCTACCATAAACTAGCATGCCATTGGTAAAACAGACGGTGGGTTTCATTACCTTTTCACCTTCATATTCCTTTTCTGGAAATTCAGGAACATAGTGTTGTACTGGAATATCAAGATTCAGTTTTCCTGTTTCCCACAATTTGGCAAGAGCAACCATGGTGAGACTTTTGCTGATGCTAGCAATTCTCATAACGGTCTCTGGCTTACACGGCACACGGTTCTCAACATCAGCATAACCTAAACCTTCAGGAAGAAAAAGCAGAAAGTCATCATAATACATATTTAAACTTGTCTTCTCAAGCTACTCTTAGAAATCTTTTGTTTAACTCTTATACTTCATCATTTCTCCCATCTGCTTTAGCTACTCTGTACTTAAGAGCAAGTTCCTGAGTCTCTTCTGCTTCTGGCATCCATTTGGTCTTTTCCTTTTTTCCCCTGTGTTTTTAAAATAACTTTTATTTTCTTCATGTATGATTTACTGGATCATCCAGTGATCAAATCATATCTATTCTTGAGATGGTCTCTAAATTTAGACAGATGTATTCAATGTTCTACTTTGGTGGTCATAAACTTTCTTGTTTTCTTCTGTTTCAACTTGAACTTGAACACAAGTAAATGATGGTCTATTCAGTTGGCCCCTAGCTTTGTCTTGACTGAAGATACTGAGTTTCTCGACTGTTTCTTTCCACAGATGTAGGTGATTTGAGTCCTGTGTAATTCATCTAATGAGATCTACATATATAGTTGTTGTGTACTGTATATCTAATGCAGAATTCTATCATATGACCCCCAGCACTGTTTCTAGCATGACGACTGTATTTTCCAACTGCTTATCCTTCTTTATAAGGAGCTCTGGTAGCATAGTGGTTACGAATCAGGCTGCTAACCTCAGGGTCAGAAGTTCGAGACTACCAGCTGTTCCGCAGGAGAAAGATGAGGCTTTCTGCTCCCGTAAAGATTTATAGCCTCAGAAACCCTGTACAGGGTCGCTTTGAGTCAGAACTGACTCCATGGCATGTAACAGCAACAAATCCTTCTTTAGGTTTCTAATGTTCACATTCTAGTCACCAGCAGTTATCAATGAATACAAATTGCATGTTTGATCAATTTCATTTTGCAGCAAGTCATCAGTGTGTCGGTTTATCATACTTATGTCTCCATGTTTGCTTTGACGCAGGAAGCTATTTCACTACTATTTCATATACCATCAGGGTGACCCATGGTTCACAGGTTTCAACAGAGCTTCTTGACTGGGGGAGATTAGGAAAGGCCTGGTGATCTATTTCTGCAAATTAGCCAATGAAATATGGATGACAACATTGTCAAATATGTTACTGGACTGGTAGCCTTTCATGTTGGAAGGCACTCAGAATATGACTATGGAAGAGCTGTCTCCTCAAAGCAGAGTCAATCTTAATGCTTAGGCATGGATAGAATAAACCCTTTGTGACCTTCATTTGCTGATGTGACATGACTCAAAAAAAAAAAAAAAGAAGTATCAGCTGCAAACACTTATTATATAAATCAGAAAGTAGAATGTAGCATATGAATCAAAGGCAATTGGAAGTTGTAAAAAATCACATGGAACACTTAAAGATGTTCTTAGTCACTGTTGTTGTTAAGTGCTGCTAAGTTGGTCTAATACACTGGGAACAACGAATTGAAAAGGAATAGCATTGCATTTATTAAAAAGAACATTTCAAGATCTATCCTGAAGTGCAGTATAGTCAGTAATAAGTTAATAAGTATATGCAAAGAAGACTAATTAATATGAATATTACTCAAACTTATACATCATCCACAAATGCCAAAGATGAAGATACTGAATTCTTAAAATACTGAATTCTTAAAAGGTACTACAACCTTGGAATGACCAATTAGACCATTTGTGTACAGTAGAGAAGTAAATAAAGTTATAAAATAACCCTTTGATAAAATCCAAATAAACCAACTAACCCACTGACACTGAGTCAATTCCAACCCTTAATGACCCTGTAGAGGGTGGTTTCCCAGGCTATAAATTTTTATGGGAGCAGAAAGTCTCATCTTTCTCCTGCAGAGCAGCTGGTGGGTTTGAACTGCTGATCTTGTGGTTAGCAGTCCAGTACTTATCCTACAGCGCTACCAAGGCTCCTTATCCTTTGATAAAAGTATCATAAAATGAATACAAATATCTCTCCCCAAACTTCTTTTTATTAGAAAACACAGCTAAATTTCTGCCTAGTAGAAAGAGTAATAGAGCAGATTGCAGGCTCTTTAACAACAAGGAATTGTGTATATCCCTAGCGCTCGATGCAGAATGGTGTTATTAGATGTCACAGAGTGGGCTCCAAGTCACAGCGACCCTGCACACAACAGAATGAAACACTGCCCTCTGTGCTATCCTAACGACAGTAGTTTGAGCCTATTGTTGTAGCCACTCGATCAATCCACCTCTTTAGGGGCATTCCTCTTTTTCATTGACCCTCTATTTTACTAAGCATGATGTCTTTTGCACAGAATTATTGTTGTTAAATGCCATTGAGTTGGTTCTGACTCATAGCAACTCTGTATAGGGTTTCCAAGACTTGTATATCATTGTGTGAGCAGAAAGCCTCATCTTTCTCCCCAGGAGCAGCTGGCAGACTTGAATCACCGGCCCTGTGGTTAGTATTCTTTGTACAGAATTTATGTTGTTGTTAAGTGCCGTCTGTTGGTTCTGACTCATAATGACACTGTATAGTGTTTCTGAGGAGCAACTGGTGGGTTTGAAGGGCCAACTTTGCAGTAGGCAATCCAGTACTTATTCTACAGGACCACACAGGGACTCCTTGGACATAATGTTGTTATTAAGTGTGATGGAGTCAGTTCCGACCCACAGAGACCCTGTAGAGAACTCCCGAAGCTTTAAATCTTTGTGGGAGCAGAAAGAATCATCCTTCTCTCGTGGAGCAGCTGGTGGGCTTGAACTGCAGACCTTGTGGTTTGTAGTTCAGTGCTTATCATATGGAGACACCATGCTCCCTTGTACAGAATGTTGTTGCTGGTAAGTGTCTTTGAATCAGTTTGACTCATTACAATCCTGTATAGGGCTTCTGAGGAGCAGCTAGTGAATCTGAACCACCAACCATGTGACTTAAACAACTCTGTGGTCCAATGCTTATCCTACAGTGCCATACCAGGACTCCTTCTACAGAAGTGTTGTTGCTGTTGGTAAGTGCTGTCATGTCAGTTCCGACTCATAGTGACCCTGTATGGGGTTTCTGATGAGCAGCGCCACACCAGGACTCATTGTACAGAATAGGGCTCACTAAATTGTTGATAAAAAATTCTCATCTAGCCATAAGGGTTAACTACAAATTATTAGTTTGTAGGACCAAAGAAGCTTTTAGACATACAATATACAGTTTTTTCTTGACCAATATATCATAATAGAAAAGTGAAGTCCTGGTGTGGAGCCATTGGTGGTTTAAACTCCATACACAGGGTCACTGTGTCGGAGCTGACTCGTGTTAGTTACAACAATAGAAAAATGAGGGCAGAAGAAATAAGCCATCTTTTAGACTCCAACGTCACATTTTAAATCTTGCTGTTAGAGAAAACCAAATCCCTTATTCTGTTAGATATTTTTTTCTCCACAATATACATGATTTTATGTAAACCGAATAGCATTTCATGGGATTCATTGCAAGCAGCAAAACATTGTTTCATTAATCAAATGTCATAAAACAAGCAACTAAATCAACACTTTTCAGAGCCCACCTTCGGACCAGACTTCTTTTCCATCCACAGAAACTCCAACCACTATGCCAGGTGCACCCACCTCATCCTTTGAGTCAAGGAAAAAGACAGTTCAGTTCAGCGAGAGGCTAGGTAACATTCCTCCTTCACATCCTGCCCTTACACAAGGGGCCTTCCAGGTGTCAACCTTCCCCTAGGCCCCGCCCCCGGGGTAGTCCCCGCCTTCACCACACCCCCAGGCCATAGCCACGCCCCTAGCATGAGCTCCGCCCACATCAGCTGTGGTCTTGCCTCCCCACTAACCGGCTAGGGGTGTACCCGTCGGGTGGGGGTGAAGTGGGAGGTGGGAAGGGTTGGGGAAAAGTGGGACGGTCCCCGAGGCGGGCGGTGACCTCCGCCCAGACTTAGGCAACCCCCGGGAGCATCTGACAGGGCCAGGAGCTGGGGAAACGGGAAGTCTCTCTGAAGTCCAGGGTGGGGTCTGTTCGGCCTGGGAGGAAGACCCCTGGAGGGTCCCATTGCGGTCTGACGCCAAGGGAGGTCTGACGCCAAGGGACGGCCGGTTAGGGAAAGGGTGCGGGTTCCCTGACCACCCACACCTTAATCCTATGCAGGAGGTCCCGGCTGCTCTCGATGGCTCTGGCGAAGCGCTTATTGAGGGGGGTCGTCGGGGTCTGCGAGGAACACTGGGCGAGGGGCTGCTCCAGCTGGGGCGGCGGCTCGGTCAGGGGCGACACCTCGGGGTCGGGGACGGCGGGGAGCGGAGCGGGGGCCGCGCCGCTCAGCCCACCGGCCAGCTTCACCCCGAGCGCCAGTCCCAGCCCCAGACCAAGGCCCCCGACCCAGCCGTGGCCCAGCGGCGGCAGTCCGGCGCGCTGATGGACTCCGCGCAGCCCGCAGCCCCGGGCCCAGCCCCCGGGGGTCGCTGCCCGAGCCGTCACGGCAGACCGGAGCCGGTACATGGCGTCTCTGGCAAGCCCGAAGCCACAACGCTCGTTCCAGCCAGGCGGGCGGCGGCAGCGCGAGGGAGGGGAGGGGCTGCGAGGGAGGGGGACGCGGAAAGGCGGGGGCGGTGACTGCGCCCAGACGCTAGCAGTTGAGGCCCGAACCCGAGCGCCGATCTCATCGAACCCTTCCTTTCGCTTTCCTTTTTGTTTACTGGTCTCATGCAATTCCTCTTTCTTGTTTTACTTTTTTCTGTCTCCCCTTAGGAGAAGACTTCCTAGTCCCCGTCTTCGACGGGAGTTCTAGCCACACCTTCTTATTCCTCAGTGTAACACCTTCTTAATTATACATTGTATCATTTATCAAATTTGATTTATCACTAGACTGTGACCTCCCTGGAGATTTGTGACTTTAACTTTTTTTTTTTTTTTTATGTTTATTGTGAATTATGTGATAGTTTACATGGGAGAACATTAGCTTTACATTCATCGTATTGTATATCGTTTCATTGCCATGGTTACAATGCCTCCATGCATCATCAACCATCCAAAGGGTATACACTACAAGCCTGCCCTGGGTCGTCAGCACACAGCCCCTCTCCCTCTCTGGGTCTAAAGTCCCCAGCTGCTCCATCTCTCAACATCATTGTCTCTGCCTCCATCTATCTCTGGCATCATTGTTTCTCTGGGTAGGGTCCCGCTGCTCTCTGCTCTTCTCCCTTGATGGTCCCAGGGACCTCCGCTCCTAGACTGCAAAGTCAATCACTCCCCTCCTTGCTACAAAACATCTACCTTTATATTTCCAACCCTCACAATCAGTCCTGATAATAATTATTCACTATTATATCACAAGAGACCTATCTGTATTTCTTTTCATCAGCCCCACCTATTCAGATTGGATACTACTCAGTGGAGATTCTACCTTCCTCCATGCCCTCTGGATC